TGGAATATTATTTCAGCCACGAAAAGAATGAAATCTTGCTATTTGCAATTGACATGGATGGAGCTTGAGTAGAACACTAAGCAAAGTAATTCAGTCAGAGAAAGACAAATACCATATGATTTCACTCATATGTAAAATTTAAGGAACAAATGAGCAAAGGGAAAAACAGAGAAAGGCAAGCCAAGAAACAGACTTTTAAAAAAAATTTTTTTTAATGTCTTTATTTTATTTTGAGAGACAGAGACAGAGAGCGAGCAGGGGAGGGGCAGAGAGAGAGGAAGACACAGAATCTGAAGCAGGCTCCAGGCTCTGAGCTGTCAGTACAGAGCCCGACATGGGGCTCGAACCTACGGACTGTGAGATCGTGATCTGAGCTGAAGTCGGACACTTAACTGACTGAACCACCCAGGTGACCCCCAAGAAACAGACTCTTAACTATAGAGAACAAACTGATGGTGAGTGACCAGAAGGGAGGTGGGTGGGGGGATGGGTGAAATAGGTGATGGGCATTAAAGAGTGCAGTTGGTGATTGAAATAAAAGTCAAAATTTAAAATTGAGGATTGCTCAAAAAAAGTTTTTCTTTTAATTTCACTATTGTTGACAGTGTTATATTATTTTCAGGTGTACTTTTCCTAGTTTCTTAAGGTGGAAGTATAAATAATTGATTAAAGAACTTTGTTTTATAACGTAAGCATTTCTTGTTATAAATTGCTTTCTATACAAAACTTCAACTGCACGTTTTGCTATATTTTGTTTTTATTTTCTTAATAAAAAAAATTCCCCTTGTGATAAAAATAAATAAAATAAGTGTTTGGTAGAATTTACCTGAAGCCATCTGGTCCTGGACTTTTGTTTCTTGGGAAGAGTTTATAAAGTACTGATTCAATTTCATTACTTGTCATCAGTCTACTCAGATTTTCTTTTTCTTTGTGATTTAGTATTTGAGATTATGTGTTTCCTGGTAATTTTATCTGTTCTAAAATCTATTTTGTATATTAAATAGCCATTCTAGTGATCTTTTGCTTAGTATTTGCATGGTATATCTTCATCATGCTTTTTCTTTTAATGTACCTATATCATTATATTTGAAGTTTTCTTACAGATAATGATTAAGTCAAGTTTTCTTTTAATCCACTCTCACAATCTCGGTCTTTTCAATGATATGCTAGGACCATTTACATTTAATTCAATTACTGTTTAGATGTAGGTCTAGGATTTATTTGTTTCCTGTTCTCCTTTTTAAAAAATTCTGTTTCTTTCATTTTTCTTTCTGGATTACTTGTTTTTTTTTTTTGGTGTTCTATCTTTATTTTATCCATTGTAATTTTGACTATACTTGCTGTACAATTCTTTTAGTGATTGCCCTAAGAATTACAAAATGCATACCTAACCTTTTGGTCTACTTAGAATCAGTATTTTACTACTTCAGTTGCAATACAGGAATACTACCAACCTCTAGGTCACTTTACTCCCTCCTACCATAGCTGTTTCATTCCATTTGCATACATTAAAATCCTTATCAAACAATGTTATAATATTGTAATTTCCAGTGTCCAGCCTGTTTTGAAGAACTCAAGAAGAGCAGTCTATCATTCTCAGCAGATATTTACTATTTCTGTTTCTCTTCCATCAGCCTTCGTGTTCCCAGTGTTCTGGTATCATTTCCTTTCTGTCTGATGATCTTTAGAGATTCCTCTAGAGCAGGTGCACTGGCTACAAATTCTCAGTTTTTGTTACCTAAGTTTTTTTTTTCAGCTTCATTGCTGAGAAATATTTTCTCTGAAAACAGAATTCTGGGCGGATAGGTTTTTCCTTTAGTGCTTTAGAAATGCCATGCCACTTCCTTGTAGACTCCACAGTTTCTGGGGAGAAATCTGCAGTCATTAAACACTGCTCCCTCCAGGTCACGCATCCTTTTTCTCTGGCTGCTTTCACAGTTTTTTCTTTCTTTATTTCTCAGCAGTTTATTATGTGTCCAGGTATGGATTTCTTTGAGTTTATCCTCTTTGGGATTCATTCAGCTTATCAACTATAGGTTTGTCTGAATTTCACCAAACTTGGAAAGTTTTCGACATTATTTCCTCAAAGATTTTTTCAGCACTGCACTACTCTCTGCTTCTGGGACTAATGACACAAACAGAAGATCTCCACTGCTGTTCCACAGTCCGTGAAGCTCTGTTCATTTTTTTCTAAGTTCTGATTAGATAGTTTCAGGTATTTCACGTTTCCATCCGTATCCTCTTTGAATTCCATTTCTCCATGGACACTTTACACTTCAACATTTGTTTTTTTGTTTTTTTGTTTTTTAATTTTTAATGTTTTTGATTTATTTCTGAGAGAGAGAGACAGTGTGAGCCGGGGCAGGTCAGAGAGAGAGGGAGACACAGAATCCGAAGCAGCTCCAGGCTCTGAGCTGTCAGCACAGAGCCCGACACGGCGCTTGAACCCACGAACCGTGAGATCATGACCTGAGCCGAAGTTGGACACTTAACCAACTGAGCCACCCAGGCGGCCCCTCAACATTTGTTTTAAGAACGTTTATAATTGCTTGTTGGATCATGTTTACAATTGTTTCTTGAAGGTCTTTATGAGATTATCCCAACATCTATTTTATCTTGTCATTGTTGGTGGTCTTTTTCCAATGCAAGCTGGCGTTTTTATGGTTTTTCATTTGAGGAGTATTTGGATTACACTGGTTGGACTGGATTAGTCTGGATTTTGAATATCATCAGACCCTACATCTGTTTAACTCCAATGATAAAATGCTGATATGTTTCCTTTAGCAGACAACTGACCTGGTAAGGTTCAAGCTGCAAATTACAACCCACCTTCTATGAGCTGTAGCTACCATGTCAGTCTATCCATTAGCTCGGTTCTCAGCTTATCATGTGCTGGTTAGGATCAGACCCATAAGTACACAGAAGAGGGAAGCCCAGGAGTTCATAAACAACTTTACGGGATTCCTTCCCCAAGCTCCTCCTTTTGCTTGATCTCCTGGATCCATGGGATTCTCCCTCTCCCAGGAGAGGAACCATCCACTTCCACAACCGTGAGGAGCAGAGCCCAGTGGCAGGAGAACAGAAAGCGAAAAGAGCCATGGTTTTGGTTCTATATCCTTTGTCCTTTGAGCCCCGGCTCCAAGCAGCAGAAAGCCTCTCCCCTTCCACTATGTTGGCTCCCATTACTGCTGCTGCCCCTCAGTACTGTCGGGGAGATGGAGGGCAGGGAAGGCACCACACCATGCTCTGGGCTTTAGGAATTTGTTCCTTTTCTGCGCTGTGAGAAAGTAGCAGGCGTCTCCGGGAGCTTCCCTGTCTGCACCTAGCACTCACTTCTAGTCTTCACACTGCCCTGGCCTCAGGCCAGGAGGCACCAGAAGGAAATGCTAAGCTCCCCACCAGCCCAGGAATCCCTGGAATTCTGGCACACTTCCCCACCCTCCTGTTGCTACTTACTTCCCGAGCCTCAAAATGCCGTGCCTGCCCCGGCACAGGCACAGCCATGCGGCTGGGCTCAGTGGAGGGCTGGGCTACGAGCAGACTCAGTTCACCCAGACTCTCTGATTCCTTATGAGTCAAGGAGTGTGTTTATAAAGTTGTGCAACTGCGAGGTCCAGAACGGAGCTACCTTCCTGCAGAAAGGCCCTGCGTGCTTCTGCCTGAGCACACGGGACACACCCCGACATCACCCTGCTGCAGGCGCCACGCTGAGGGGGCTCCTTTCTCTGCCTGGCCTGTCCCTTCTCCGCAGGACCCAGCTCCTTCTCTCTAACCTGCTGAGCTGCTGCAGCTTCAGCACTTAGCCTCTCAGTCGCCCTGCAGGAATGGGAATGGCCTCTGGGGGAAGAGGGCCAGCAATGGGCCACCCCACGTCCTGGGTCTCCACCCCACCCTGGACCCTGGCCTGATCTGCACTGTCTTCAGATGCCCAAAGACCTTCAAGCTGACGATCTTTATAGTTCATCCACCTTCTCTGGTCATCCTCAGTGAATGGTTCATCCCAATGAACAAATCTGCTGTCCCTGACAGTGGCCACTTTGTATTTTAAATAATTAAGGAAACTGGCTCCCAAAGGTTCTCTGAGATCAGTGAACAGACGAGGGAATTAGGGTTTAACTTGGGCACGTCCTATGAATCGCTGAACCACAATGAAAATCGACTTTATAAGTCTTTTCTCCCTCCAGTTAATTGGGTGCGTGTATTAAATGAGGCAGTAGTAGATGGGACGATCTGCAGACGAAGCTGCTGTTCCCCAGACCCCTCCCCCAGGGTGCGCCAGGCCCTTTATCTGAGGTCACCAGGTCTGTTTACGGCTCTGCTGGGATTCTGTTATGGGGCTGACCTTTTCCCCATGGGAACAAACCTTCAAAAATATAACGGAAACCACTGAGAACCCATGATAGAAAATGAAACATGATTTACAAACATTTTTCACCCATGTGCCATAAAGTAAGGTCGAGTTACCTAACTGGCAACTTTCTCCTGCCAGCTTACAGGGAATTAAACCTTAATCTGTTCAAGTGATTATTTTCAGCCTCCCAAGGGACGACAGAATCAGGACTTAACGGAGCCCCAGGGGCAAGCTTGCTGGCATCTGTCCCCCACACGGGCAGATCGGTATCAGTTTTCCTTGGGGACAATTTAAAATCAGAGTCTTAGGACCGAAGGGACTTTCCCGCCCCACCCCCAGAGTCAGCGCAGCAAGGAGGCAAGTGTCCCTGCAGCCGGGCCACACGAGGGAAGGAGCAGGGGGACCCATCGCCCACACCAGCGAGAGAGAATAGGCGGAGCCCCCAGCACGCAGCTGCGCGGCCAGGGTGCCGCCTGCACGAGGACGGAGACGACGGCCCGAGCCGGAGTGCCACCTTGACTGGGTGGAAAGGAGGACATGCGGTGCTGAACGAGGCACGCTGGGCTTCGGGCGACAGTGCGGGCTGAGCCGGCACACCAAGTGACCAAGTTGCCGGGGAGGAGGGCAGGGAACTTGCAGGTGCTCCTACCTTGGCTGGCGTCCGGCTGCACGGACATCAGAGGAAGTGGGGGGGAAGGCTCAGGGGCCTCGGCCGCCGGGTGCTCAGCCACCGGACAGATGATAAACCACCTCTTGCCCGTGTGCAGAACTACGGGGCAGGGCAAAACAGCAGGAGAGACGGAGTGAGTTTCTCCCACAGCTGACAGGACCCCTCGCCGCTGGCACCAGACATGCCCGAAGAGGCGTTGGGGAGCTCTTCTCACACCAGTGAGGGGCATGTGCAGCCCACTCGGGGGGCTCCACGCTGAAAGCCTGGGGCTCGCACGACACCCTCAACATGGGCTTAGTTCCTAGAATGCTGGCAGTGCAATCAGCAAAGGGGGGACAGGCAGCAAGCAGTCCATGCCAAGCTCAGTGCTCCCCAGGGCCACACGCAGCTCAAGTCCGCTATCCCTGCACCTGTGGGGTGCTCACCACGTGCGCCAGCAAACCCCCCGTGTGATGGCCAAACCCCCTTATGATCTGCTCAATGCAATCTTATCGAGCGCCCGCCGAACAGAAGGAGCAAGGACAGAAATGCCTCTTCCAGACGTAGGTCTGGACGGAGGTGGGATCCCGGGAGGCACACGTACCGTTCTGCTGATACACCGGGGCGTTGGCCTGGGGCTGGCGACTCTCCTGGGAGGTGAAGGATCGGAGATGAGCAGCCCACATGGAGCAGGAGCTTCCCGCGGAGCACGGCATGGCCTCCAAACACCCACGGAGCCTCCGGGGCCCGGACGAGTCTCACCGAGCTGCGAGCACTGCCCCCCCCAGCCACCTCCCCCAACACCGCGTGGCCCTCCCAGGACCGCTGCCCAGGACACACCTCCCCAGTGCCCAGGCCGCAGGTGCCGAGGCGCGGCGGGCTTGCCCCAGGGTCGGAGCCTCGGTCGACGTCCGCGTCCTCACTGAGCATGTCCTCCGCCTTGTCCATGACATCCTTCATCTGCTCGATGAACGTCTCTCGCTCAGCCTGCAGGATGAAGTCGTGCTCCACCTGCAACAACACAGGCAGCCCTGCTGGGGGGACGCACCGTGGGCCTCGGCCGCACAGGGTCTTCCCCCACGGACACACTGCGCTTCCGCCCACGCTCAGCCCCGGGCGGCTCAGAGACAGCACAGTGCCCCCCAGGGATGGCGGGAGGAGACGGCCTTGCTGTATCAGGGGAAGACGCCCGGCCTCACCATATAGGTGGCAATCTCGTCAGGTGCGTCCCCGTCCAGGTCAAACTTGAACGTCACCATCTTGTGGTTGTGCGTCTCCAGCTGGCACTCCACCATCTTGTCGCCCGTGTTGCACACCTGCGGGATGCGCAGGTGGTGAGACCGCGAGCGGACCACGTCCAGGGAGCCCTGTGCCCACGGCCCGCCCTGCTGGGCCACTCACGTTCAGGATGGTGAGCCGGGGGCGGCTGGCTCTCTCCTGGCGGGAGCGCGCCCGCGTGGATCTGCGGTGATGTTTCCGGGCGGCTCTGCCCTCCAGCCTTCCGCTGCCAAATGCACCCTCACAGCTGTCACTCATCTCTCTTCCAGAGGGAACGTCGGAGCCTCCGTAGCTGTGTGGAAACCCAACGCTATGGCCACCTGCAGACAGGCCTCACGCGGGATCAGGAAATAGCCAGGAAAGCTGGAGGGTGTGAGGCCAGCCCTGACCCTGCCTTCAGGGCCCCCAGCCCCCTTTCCCACTGTGAGGCCTGTCCCGAGTGGCACTGGGGTTGTGGGTCTGCCTGACCTGGGACCTTTGTCCTCCCTGACTCTTGATCTGTGACTCAGGCCCAAACGGCTCGGCTCACAGAAGACATCAGGATTAAGAAAATCCTCCCCTGTGCCTCAGCTTCCCCATCTGTGCAACAGGAACCCAAGAACCGCCTGGCGCTGCGGCAGGGCTGGAGGAAGGTTTGCACGGCACCGACTGGTGCGGGCACACTGGGACACACGACCACGTGCCTCATCCGGCTCCGTCCCCCATGTAACAAGCTCTGTGAGTAGGCAAAAGACAGGTGGCCAGCAGCCACGGAGCTGGGGGGCCGGGGGCGTGGGCCATACTCAGCCCACTTTTTATCCACTGCCTCCCCTTCTGGTACATGTCGGGCACCACAGACAGGTGGCGGCACCTGGACCCAGACCCCGGAGGACCCCAGAGAAGCCCCGCCAAGGCAGGCTCAGAAACGGGGGACGCTGCCAGAAGCAGTGACTCGTGAGGGCAAGGGCGGAGGGGTCTGCGAGCAGCCGCAGTGGAGGCCTAGGCGGACGTGGGAGCCTGCGGGCCAGCCGGGCCAGTACCTGTCGCAGCTCTGCGGGGCGCCAGGCTGCTTGTCCTGAGAGGCCTGCTCCTGAAACAAAACCACAGACAGGTTACCCTCGGATTACCCTGCCCCCCCCCCCCCCCCACCCCGCACAGCCGCACACGGCCTGCTGTCCCCCAGGAAGCTGACTGCACAAGGTGGCAGGCACGAGAGTTTCTGTCGTGGAATTCCTGAAAGGGGCCGGACGTTTGCTGCCCCACTGCAATCATGCCCTCGGGAGAGCACACAGGCCTTCCCAGCACCCCCCCACCCCCACCCCAGGGAACAGAGGACAGCACCTATAGCTGTCACAGGGCACACTTCAACCTTCCTGAGTCCCAGCTTCCAGAGCTGAGACCTGAGGCCACCGTGCAGGAGACCACTGGGGTCAGGAGTCGGGGGGGAAGCATGGACGGGGTAGACAAGGGCACACACCTCCGGGGCCGGCTCCACTGTCAGCTGCACGGCCGGGCAGGGGCTGGCGATCCCGGGCCCGGTGGGCGGTGGTGGGTGGGTAGCAGGCGGCAGGAGCGGGGCGGTCTGGACAGGCAAGTTCTGAGAGGCTGCCAGCACCGCAGGGGCCAGGGAGCTGGGGAGCTGAGGCAGCTCGGGGACAGCAGGTGGCAACACTTCGGGCAGAGGTGGGGAGAGGATGGCGGCTGGCACGGGTGCCGCGGGGACCTGGGCGGTGACGTCCATAGCGTATGGAGGTGGGTGGCCAAGCAGGATCTGGGGGGACAGGAAGGCCAGATGGAGTGCCAGCCATGCCTCCGCCAAGGGGTGGTGGGGGTCCTGGTCCAGGCAGGTGAGCCTACTGTGGGGCTGGGTGATGGACGCTCCCCTGCAATCGGGCCCCTGGCCTCAGATTTAGCAGAAACCACTAAGGACAGGAACTCGCAGGTCCCCATCTGTGTAAAATCAAATCTAAAACCATACTTCACTTAGGCACTTAAGTCCAGCTGAGAAGCTCTAATTCTGGCGAGGACTCAGCACCAGACGGGGCTCCCCAGGGCCACTGAGGGACCCGGCCCACATGCTGCCCCACCTTCCATCAGCTGCGTGCAGGGAGTGGGGACCTCGGCCTGCAGCGGGCGATTCAGGACACGGCTGGTGTCCTCACAGACCCCCTAAGCACTCCCAGTGAGGCAGCTGAGAAGGTGGAAGGCGGGCCCCCACCTGAAAGAGCGGGAGCCTCCACCCAGCCCTGCCTCTGGGTTGAGGTCAGGAACACAAAGGCCTGCTGCTAGCCGTGCTGGCGTGGGAGACTCAGCAACGTGGCGAGCGGGTCAGATGTGAAAGCTGCAGCCCCTTTCCCCCCGGAAGGACCCCCAGCTGCTGTGTTCAGGGGAGTCGGCTCTCAGCACAGAGAGGCTGTGAGGCGGCCAGCCTGGCCTGTCCATAAACCACAGACAGCAGGAGGCCGCCAGGCATGTGGCACCTGCCCCGGCTGCCGGCTGAGCCAGCGACCCCACCCCAGTCCTGGCAGCGAGGCACCAGTCCAGGCCCTGACGCTGCAGACCCCGGGCCTCCATGTCGCCCTTGGCTTTCTCCAAACAGCCCTGACCAGTGAGTGGATGTCACCTGAACTAGCGGACCAGGCAGGCACTTGTTGAGTCTGGCACCAGACTACTGCATCTCCTCTGCCCTGTTATCAACAAAACCCACCCCTTTCCTCACCAGCAACAGCTCCTTTCCGGAAGCAGGCAACAAGAATCAGCAGCCAGGAGAACCTGTGTGCGGTCTTACTCCAGACCAAAGCAAGTGCAAATGCCACCTGGCTCCTCCACACGCTCCTCCGCACGCTTTGGGGGCGGATCCCCACCACAAAGCCGAGAGGGGGCTACTGGCCCGTCACACAGGAGAGGGATCTAAGCTCAGAGGGCAAATGGCTCGCTGCAGCCACACAGCTGCTGAGGCCCAGAGCCCGGAGAGGGGGAGGGGAGGCCCCAGGCAACACGTCCCCAGGGAACAAGCTCCCAGGTGAGAGGCCCCCACTCCTGCTCCTCTCCTCACGAGGTTGGAAAACAGCTTAGAGCTCCAACTGGTGCGTGGAGTCTCAGGAAGGCCAGTCCTTCCCTGTCCGTGTGGCAAGACACCCCAGGTGCCCATCTGGCCCCAGGAGTCATCCTGGTCTGCTCTGGCCATCCTGAAACCCAAAGCTGTGTGCCCTCAGCACTGCCCGTCCACTTCCTCAGAGCCCCGCCTGCCTGGCTCCCAGCCAGGAGCTGATACCACACGACCAAACCGTGCTAGAGCCTGCCTGGAGGAGGCATGGCCAGGGCTACCCCCCGCCCCATCACCACCACCACCACCACCACAAGCAGCTGCTACTGACCCTCTGAAGGGCCCGATGGTGGAACCATTAGTCACCCCAACTCCCGCAGCCCCAGCTCTGGAGACAGCAGCGTGCTACATGCTTAATGAGAAGCCGCAGCTGAGGGACAGAAGTGCCCGCTCATCCACCCCTCCTCTGCCCCCGGGTCTACGGAGAAGCAGAGGCCAGAGACCCTCTCCAGGTCAGCAGCTAAGGACGTCTTCCGGGACCTGCAGACGGGCCCTGTGTGGCAGGTGGCTTACCTGGCTCCCTGCCCCACCTGCCGGAGCTGCCTGCTCAGGAAGGCGCGCGACGCTTGGCTGGTGAGGCTGCGGCAGCGTGGGGGGCGCCGGCTGGGACGGGGCAGCCCGCACGTTCTGTGCCGCATGGAGGGGAGAAGGCGGGACGTCGCTGGGCACCATCTGCGGAAAGGCTGCTGGGTACACAGGCTGGGCCGGGAGCTGAGCCACGGCGGCAGGGTGAATGGACAGGGTGGCCACACCCTGTGGGGCCACGGCCAGCAGAGGGATGGCGGTGGCGGTGGCCGCCACGTTTGGCACAATGGTCCGACACGGCACGGCCAGCGGCGCCCCGGTGGGGTGGGGCAGCTTGACCGCCTGCAGGGGCAGGGCTGGCGACGCGGGCAGGGGGGCAGCGGCGGCGCTGAGCGGCAGGCTTGGCAAGATGACGGCGGGAGAGAAATACTGAGAGGGGGCGGGGACGGCGGGGACGGCGGGGACGGCGGGGACGGCGGGGACGGCGGGCCCAGTGGCGGCCGGCAGGTCAGGCAGAGCTGCGGGGAGGCTGTCCGTGGAGGCCAGGGGCGCGACGGGCGGCCCAACAGCAAGCGGAGGCACCTGAAAAACATGGCACACAGCCTCACTAGGGCTCGCCCAGCCCCGCACCTGCCCCATGCCCACCTGCCGCCCACCGGAAGCATGCACGACCCCGGCCGGCCCGGGCACTTCCAGGCAGCTGCTGTGGAAAGGAACCGGCCAGCAGCTCAGACGCTAGGGCTTAGCACAGTGACCCCCCAGCTTCGCAGCTCTGGCACATTTTCATTCGAGAGCCAGCACCCTCCACGCCACCAGATTGGCCCCCAGGGCCTGAGATTACTTCGCCTAACACCCCCAGTCTGAACACACTCACACAGGGACCAAACTCTGGAGTGCTAACTCAGGAAAAGCATATCCTCGACCCCCCACATGCTGGGCCCACAGTGGAGCTCCAGAAGCTTCCACGTCTGGTCTTCCATCCTGGAGACACCCCCTATCTGGCCTCCTGGAGTTGGCACGTCACACGTTTTGGCGGATTCTCCAGTTCTCTCTTTAAAACCTTTCCAGTGGCCGGCACGTGAGCATCTCACATAATGCCCATCTTTGCGCGACTGTCAAGCAGCAAAAGCCTGCAAGCCAACTTCTACTTATCGGAAAGCCATTAAACGCTGTTACTGTCAGAAAGTGAAACAGCAATTTAACTAGATGGTGACGGCGATGAGGACAAGCCAGGTGACAAGACTCTTCCGTGGGCGTCCGCAAACTGTAGGGACACTCACACCTTCAACACGCGGCAGGGTTCCCGTCTGCATCCCGCCGACACAGTGTGATGGGCCCCACGATAGGTAAGCCGCCGATGGCATCAGCCCGGGCAACAGCACCCAGGTGCCACGTGCTCTCCAGCGGCCCTGGTCCTTTGAGGCCCTGCACTCACAGTGAGCACCGCCTCGGGTGGCTCCATGACATACTGTGCCATAGCTTTGTGCTGTACCCTGGCTCCTCTAGCCCTGACTTTGGACCAAACCTCTGTCTGTCCTGGGTACCTGGGTATACCTGGGAGAGGCCCAGGGCAGGTGGGCACGGCCACCCCTGCCCCAGGGAGCGCTCCCGTCCCGAGGACCCATGAGCACGCACAGCCCAGAGGACGAAGAGCGGCCCCCCAGGCTGGGGGTGAAGGCCAGGTGGAGGGCGGTGGGGGGAGGGGGAGGTTTACCTGAGCAGGCACCTGAGGCAGAGGCTGCAGAGGCGCTGGCGGCATTTGGAGGGGCTTCAGCTGAGCGGGGGCCACCACCTGGGAAGTCGGAGCTAGGTAGGACGGCAGGTGGGGGGGGACCGGCTGGAGGGGGCCCATGGGCGGTGGGGCCAAGACCGGGGGCAAGGGCGTTGGCTGGGCCAGTGGAGGAGGCTGGGGAGAGATGGGGGGAGGCTTCTCTTAGACAAGCGTCCTGAGACCCCCCCCCCAACATGCACACACACACCCAGCCCGGAGCCTGAGACACGCCTATCTGGAGGCATCATTCTGCGTAAGCAGGACCCCTCCAAGTGCTGTGGATCATGAACCCCACTCCCATCTGCACCCCCGGCACTGGGCAACCACAGAGAAGGAGCAAAGGGGACCCAGGCGAGCAGAGCTCACTGCACATCCAGGGTGGTGGCCGTGAGCAAGGGTAGCCCACACTCACCTGCTGGCCAGCGGGCACAGGCTGGCCTGGGCCAGTCGGCACGGGGGCAAAACTTATGGCCGGCTCCGGGAAATGCTGCTGCGGGAGCGGGGGGTGGGCCGGGGGCGGGATGGAGCTCCCCGGCAGGCCAGGCTGCAGACAGCACCGAGAGCTACTCACCAGCTGCCATCGGGCCCCCCACCCGGCTCGAGCTCCACAGCTACCGCGCCCCGCCCCCAGCTCCCCGTGCCCATCACCCTTTTAAGGACTCTCCTGGGCACAGAACTGGCAGAAGTGAGATGTGGGGGTCCCTAAGCTGAGAATGGCCACTACTCCCAACTAAGGAATGTTCTGGAACTTCAGCTCTATGAGATGTTACGCAATCATGAGAAAAGAACACCATAAAGGCTTTGCAGAACTGGGACATTCAGTGGGAGAGAGGTACAAATGAACTTGGTTTTCACCTCTGGGATCGTGTGAAACACAGACACGCAAAACGTCACAAGCAGGATGCAGGAAAGTGAGAACAGATAGTGGGGCAGAGCCAGGATCTGCAGTGACCCGGCCGCCAGAGTCCCTGCTGCCAGCGGCAGCATAGGCCCAGCCCAGGAGGCCACAGTCCGAGCACTGGGTCGCTGACGCTGTTAAGGAAGAGCTGCTCACGCGCTCACTTTTACATATAATAATGTCTAGCTCTGTTTTCAAGAATCCTGATCCTGCAGACATACGGACTGACATCTTTATAGGCAAAACATTCTTCTGGGATTTACTTCAAACATGGGGATGGGAGATGCAGGTGGGGCTGTGGGGGGTGTGGGTTTGGACACAGAAGGCATCCGAGGCCAACACGGAAAGTGCTTTGGTTTTCTGGGTGACAGGAACTCCCCAGCCTCACCACTCGCTGTGTCCTTCGCAGTAAAAGCTTCATGAAAGCCCTACAGGGAGGGATGAGCCCCCACTCCATGTTCCCCCGAAGCCAGTGTGCAGCAGCCACGGGCCCAGCAGGAGCCCTGTGCCCCCCGAGCCCACTGCCCCCGCTGCGGGCAACAACCCGCCTTTCCCTACACAAGTTCCTGCTGCCGTTTAAAATCCTATTTCACTTCCTTTCATGAAACCAGCAAACCCACAGACGGGAGCTGGAAACGAGTCCAGGACTCAGCGGATGCAACTGCCTATAGAGGGATCTTCGGAGCCTGCCCGCCCGCCCAGGCCCGCAGGACGGGACCAGCACTCAGGCCACAGCAGGGGCCCCTCAGGAAGGGGGCCTGGGGCCCGCCTCTCTGTCTGGACCCCCCTCCACCGCCTCGCTCTGCAGCCGTGAAGCATGGGGTTCATCTGTCTTCTGGGCATAAACCAAATCAAACTGGAAAATAAAGACCAGCTATGCCCCCCCCCCCCACCGCCGGGCACCCCAGCTGTTCCCGTTTCAGGTCAGGCTCCATCTCCACATCTTACAAGTTACTCTACAGGTTCCCTGACCACGTTCACGTTCACCACAGTTCAGCTGCCTCGTGCTGCGAACGTGCACACTAGCACCCTCAGCAGGGCCGGACACGCCAGTGGAAATCAAAGGTGTCGGTACCGTCAACAATGCCGGCCACCACAGCCCCCAGGCGCTGCGCTCCGGGCTCCGCGCTCCTAGCCTCCCACCTGATGGGCCCTTCAGGGCACGTCCCCAGTGTCCCCACAGGGCGGACCTCCCCGGGGCCTGACCAAAGGCCAGCGTGGCCCGGGCTGCCCGTGGGGCTCCAGGGCACGGGGGGGGGGGGGGGGGGGCGGACTCACCACGGCCGGCTGCTGGTAGGGCCCCACCGAGGCCAAGCTGTACGGCAGGACGGGCCCGTCGCTCGCGCTCACAGGGGGGCTGCACACGCACTGGGCCGGGGGCGGCGCCGTGTCCGCCAGCGAGCCCAGCACCACGCTCTGCTGGCTGCTCTGCGAGTCCGAGTACACCGTGGAGCCCTGGCCGCTGTCAAACGTGCTGTCCGCTGGGAAGGGCAAGGGCATGGCTCAGGGCGGACTCCCCCAAACACCACCCCACTCTACACACAGTCTCAGGGACGCGGCCACGCTCAGACATGACGCTCGGTCCGTGTCCTGTGCTCTCCTGCAAACCAAGACCTGGTCACGTTTCCCAGTCACCTGAGTAGTGAGTGCACACTGGCCTGGACAGTACCCCCTAGGATGGTGGGGGGCAGGGCTGGAACCCACGGAGATGCCCTGGGGCCCCAGCCCAATGCCGTCTGGGGGCCACCCGCCACGGGTGCCACAGGTCCCAGGCGGGCACCTGACACCATTCTCTGCAGGAAATGTGTCCATCCTGGCTACAGGACCCTCGCCTGTCACCTGGCCCAGCCTAGAGACCGAGAGCTCGGCGAGGGGCCTTAGGAGGCTAACAGAAGCTCAGGTCCTGCGGCAGAAGCGACAGGCACCTGCATCTTATGGGGCAGGGACTGTGACCATCTTCACTACCATGACAAAGAGCACAAAGCAGGAAAAACGGAGTCTAAACCCGGCCCTCACATCACGGGCCCACATGTGACCCAGCTGGAAAATGGGGCAGGCGAGGCCCCACCCCGTAGAGACGCCGGGGGGGACCGAGGGGCTCCACCGCATCAGCATCACAGCGGACGGAGCCACCCACACACCCGGCACAGACAGGCCCCACGGCCACGGGCTTGCCTCCCCCAGTCGCCTGCGTGGCCAGGCACTGAACGATGAAGACAAAATCCTGCTTGAAATGGCACCTTCTGTTTACCGCATCCAGACTCAGAATCTACTGCGGCTTCCCACCTGCAGCACCAGGCACATCTACGGGGCGCCTCAGAGCGCCAGCATCGTGTCCGTTTGTAATTTAAGCAAATGGAGTGAAAGAGAATCCTGCTGGCTTCACATCAGTCATTTTCCCAAGGGCTCATCCGGGCCCCCTCTAGCCGGGAGGACGCAAGCGCCAAGGTCTAACTGCACAGAACCCATCAGACACACGGCTCTGACTTTCAGTGAGGAAGGTGGTGGCCATTTCCTTCTACACACAGAGACAGAGAGACATACAGAGACACGTGCAGAGAGACAGAGAGAGACACAGACACACAGAGGACAAAGACATACAAAGAGACACATGCAGAAAGACCTCTAGAGACAGACACACAGAGAATAGAAACAGAGAGACACTCGGATACACATGCAGAGACCCTACAGAGCCAGAGAGACACACAGAAACAGAGACAGACACAAACACAAAGAGACATGCAGTGAGAAAAAGAGACAGAGAGACATACAGAAACAGACACACACAGAGACACAGAGACACACAAAGACAGAGATACACAGAGGCATGCAGAGAGACACAGAGGGAGAAAAATACAGACAGATATGCAGAGACAGACACACATAAGGCAAACACAGAAACACACAACATGTGCACAAGAAAAAGAAATGTGTACAGACCTGGCAAATTTCATATGAACCAACTTTAACCATATATGCAACATTTTACATTCCTAAATGGAATGTGTTTAATACCCAAACTACAGAGAGACCCCAAATGTCCACTGACAGGTGAACAGATAAGAAGACGTGGCAAATAAACAGCGGAATATTACTCAGCCATCAAAAAGAATGAAATCTTGCCATTTGCAATGATGTGGATGGAGCTAGAATGTATTATGCTAAATGAAATAGATCAGATTTCACTCATACGTGGAATTTAAGAAAAAAACATATTAACATATGGACACGAGGGGAATAGAAGAGAGGAAAACAAACCGTGAGAGACTCAAAGACAGAGAACAAACTCAGGGGTGACAGAGGGAGGTGGGTGGGGGATGGGCTGGATGGGGAATGGGCACTAAGGAGGGCACCTACGACGAGCACTGGGTGTGGTATCTAAGTGATGAATCACTGAATTCTACTCCTAAAAAAATTTTTTTTAATGAAAATAAAGGGAATGTGTTTGTTATTTCTAGAATTAAAAATTTAGGGACACCTGACTGGCTCAGTAGGTTAAGCGTCTGACCCTTGATTTGGGCTCACATCATGATCTCATGGTTTGGGGGTCTGTGCTCCGAGCTGGGCTCAGTGCTGACAATGTGGAAGCCTGCTTGAGGTTCTCTCTCTCCCTCTCTCTCTGCCCCTCCCCTGATCACACCCTCTCTCTGTGTCTCAAACTAAATAAGTAAACTTAAAAAACAAATCATCTTTAAACCTCCTGACAAGGTGCCTTCTTGCAGTCAGTGCGTGCTGGCCCCACCCTCTCACTGAATGTGATCTGGGCTGAGGTGGGCAGCTCATGGTGGAGCCCCCCACAACGTGGTGTCTGTTGTACCTTCCGACATCCATGTGTCTGCCCACCCATCTTGTTACTTAAGATCAGGTCCCTTTTCCAGTGACGTGTGTGCGGAGCCCATCATCTCACCTGACCACGCAGTGTGGTCAGGCCGTCCACACGCACTGTGCCCGGAGGGACGGCTGGGCATGTGCTTCCTGTTCCAATCAGAGCAAGGTGCAGACGAGCATGTGTGGGCACAGCAGAGACACAGGGTTTGCGTGTGTGCCGGCATGCTCAGTGCGCCGTGGACTCACACGTGTGTGGGTTCTGCTGCGTGCACATGTTTCAGTGCACGTGAGTGATTCCGTGTGCATGTTATCTCTGGAATTTACCATTAAGAGACAGGCAACATCACTGGGCTCCAGGCAGGGAGAGAAACCGCCCTCTGCTGCACAGCCTCTGGTCCTGTCTGAATTTTACCCAATGCGACTGTGCTGCCTGCTTTACAGAACTCACACCACGCGCACACAGCAGTCTTCAGAAGCGTGGCTGCTGCACGAAGCACACAGAAGCGCTGAGTTGACAGGAAGACCGCATTTGCGGACAGAACGCCGACCCGCGCTGAGCCCGTGGGCGATCGGTGTCTGCCCGGTGGGTCAAGCCTGTGCGAGGACAGCTGGCCCCGGCGGACTGCGTTCCAGGTCTGGGTATCTCTCCTGCCCAGAGACTGTTCAAACACACTGCCTGATACGTGGAGTGCGCCCGATACGGACAGCCTCTTCCTACACAAAGTTTACGCCCGTTAACGAACTGCTGGCTCATCGGAAAGTGGAGTGAGGATGTAGCCGCTGACTTCTGCACAGCCTCGCTGAGCAGGCCAGAGGGAAGCCAGCGGCAAGCACCCGGACTCTCAGCAGCAGCCCGCTACGGGTTTGGGTTTAAGTAGCCTACTTTGAAGAACGTCACTATCGTTTTAACGACAATTGATACATATTCCTATTAAGTAAGTCAAACAGGCAATTTTGATCTTTCCACGTGAACAGCCTATGTGGCCTGGGCAGGCTGCAGTCGTGCTCGGCACTTGCTCACAGAACAGGCGGATGGCACCACTTCCTCAACCCTCAGCTCACAGCTGAATTTTGAGGCCACTGAGAGCAAAGGCAGGACATTCTTCTGCCCAGACTTGCAGAAAACCATCCGTTCCCTCCTCCAGTCATCAGGGACGCAGAGCGGTTCCCGACAAGCCATCGGAGAAACCCCGGGAAACAGCGTAAAGGTGTCAAAGGTCGGGCACTGGAAGGGAGATAATCTTGAGGACATGTGATCCTGGCAACAAAGGTCACGGCTGAGAGCGCCAGGACCACAGGAGGCTGGGCAGTTCTCGGGGCAGTGGTGTCCCGGCGGGGACACCCCGAGGCCAGGACTGACCTCCTCCACGTGGAAGCAGCAGCTGGACCGGCTGTTCCGTCCTGCTGGCTTAGGGCACGGAAGTTCTGGATCCGTCTCCACGTTTGTCCCCACCTGTCCTGAGAAGCTGGGCTTCCACGAGCTAAAGACACCCAGTGCCCACCCCCCCCCCGAGAGCGGTCGCCCGCACCTGCGGTCCACACCTGCAGCGAGGGCTGGGGGCGCGGGCGTGGGGAGGACGGCACTCACAGGCCAGGGAGGTGGCGCTGGCCGGCAGCGCGGCAGGCAGGAGGTGCTGGTCTGCCTCGGGCTCCTCGGGCTCCGGCGGCCCGCCCTGCGCGTGGTAGGTCACCTGGACCTGCAGGGGTGCGGGCGGGCCCTTGGCCTTGTCGGGGCTGCCTGGGTCCCGCTGCTCCGGGGGCTGCAGCGCCGGCCAGATCCTCTCTCGCCGCCACAGGATCAACGCTACGCGGTCACGGATAGACTTGGCCACAATCTTCACATCGCTCTCATGAAAGAATCCCGACTCGATCTGCCAAGAGAGGTGCCACGCCGTGACTGGGGCCCTGCGTCTGCACCGCACCTCCTGCCCACAAGTCTCTGCAGAAGCCCCGCCCCAGGCCCCCACCCCGTCTGTCACCTTCCTGTAAAGAAGTGCCCCCCCCACCCCGCCAACTGTACAGCTGTAGAAAGCATGGCCTTCTGGACCCGCACAGCGCTGCTCTTGGGACAGCGAGGCTGCGGCAGGTGCCTGTGCTCGCGGGGAGTGCGGGGGGAGGGGGAGGGGACCCAAAGCCGCCTCCGGCCAGGCAGTTCCCCAAGCAAGCACGAAGGGAAGGAAGGGAAGGAAGTCCATCGTGTAACCTGAGACCCAGGTGGGGGCTGTGGGGGGGAAGGCACCCATGCCCAGAAAACTCTAAACCCAGGAGAGCGTTTGTGAAGGAGCCCCAGGCCTCTGGGAAAGGTCACGGCTCTCCCGGAGGACGCCGATGGCAAAACCACGAAGCAGCGGAGGCCCATCTCTGCGCCGTCACCCTGGGAGCCTCGTGTGGAAAGGGAGAGAGCCAGGGCACGGAGCTTGGCACCGATCAGGAACCAAGTGAACCCAGGGCTCTCAACTCACAGCAGACATACACTGACATGGATGCACACAGGAGCGCGTGTGCGAGTGCACAGAACCCCAGCCGGGCCCGGGGTGGCGCCCGGAGTCTGGCCGGTGTGAGAACTGGGCTCCCCGCAGAGTTTCAGGCAAGAGAAGGATGAGGGGCCTGGAGACATGGCTGTGCCTGAAAGCAAGCGACGCTCAGGTAACAAGAGACAGGGACGTGTGTGGGACGTGTGCCCGCACCTCCGTGGTCCAAACGCACACGTCTGGCCGTCAAAAACGCGCAGTGATGCCGCGATGGCCTGAGGGGAGGGTCCACCAAGGCACATGGGGGAGTGCAAGTGACCTGAGGCAGGAGTGACAGGTGCCACTGCTGGTGTGAGGTCACACAGGATGCCACGTGTGTGGGCTCGTCCGCCCCTCCACACCCTCCCGTGGATCTCGGGCTCACAGGAAGCTGTGTCACCAGTGCCCTGTGGAACAGCCCACCAGCTGGAAACAGTGTCTTGCCAGCAGCCAGGTGAGTGGCGCGGACACCGAAGGACCCTCAGTCCCGGTCACCCTGGCCGACGCCTCGGCCACAGGGTGTGGAGGACCCACAGCCAGAAGGACCCCCTAAGCCGCTCCCAGATTCCTGACCTCGGGGACGGTGTGAGACCGCACGCGCTGCGTTTGAGGTACATACTATGTGCTCACGCGTAACTCACCAACAAAACCGCGAGTCCACGGAGATGGACACATATGGAGAGTTTGGTGAGAACGTTTACGCAGTTGTGAGGCCCCACCCATCACTTCACGCGAGACCGCTGGCGGACGCCCCTCAACCACGTGATCACGGGGACACAGCCCCATGCCAAGCACTCCCACAGACACACTGCCGTGACCGTGACGGAGCCGCGCAAGGTGGTCACCAGATGCATCCTTCACAGCAGGACAATTGAAGACAGACAAGGGGGACCCCAAATAGGCCCCAGGTGGCTCTCCTGGCTCTGATGGCTGAGGTGGCCAAGCAGACTGGTCACCGTCTGTGGGAAAGAGACACAGGCATCTCCGAGGTGACAGGGCATCAGGCCTGGACACCATTTTAAACGGTTCTTTGTGGTATGTTTGCGACTTTTCTGCAAGTGTGAGACTGAATGCTTCAGAGTCTCATTTCTGAAAACAACTCCCCCCCCCCGCCCCCCGGATACGGCGAACCGTGTTGCAATCACGCAGATGTCGCGGCAGCCAGCCTCCCGCCAGACGGGGTCCCCGGGCAGCACGGTGAGCGGTGGCACACGGCCAGGACTCATGTGAGGGGCCAGGACCGAGGTCATTGCCGCCCACTCACCTGCCAGCCCACCATCGGGGCCGCCCTGACCGGAGGCCATGGACAAGAAGGCGCCCCGCAGACATGCCTGCCCACTGCTTCTATTTTCTGCCCGTGGCCCAGTTTTCCTTCCGTCTCTCCTCACCGTCACCCCCTGGAGATCCTCTCCAAGGTGTTTCTTCTATTTTTTCCCAGATGGGGAAAATTTAGCCCTGTTCTGTACCACAATGAAATGCCATCTGCACAGAGGCCATGACAGCAGAAGAGGGGGTGCCCGGACACGGGGAGCCTGGGCCCAGCTGTGGGCCCCTTCTCCAGGGGTCCTCACAAGGGATCACTTCAGGCCAAAGCCAGCCCAGGCCCCCAGAGAACCGGCCCTTCTCAGCCCCCGGTGATCTCGATCCTGTCCCCTGTGCCCCGTGAGCCACGTGCTAGAGGCGGGTCAGAGACTGTGGCACTGGCACTGGTGTTGCAAAGAAGTAGGTGTGTTCAACTGAAGCTGTTGGTACGGGGCCACCAGGGCAGCGGGGGGCACTGAGCCCCAAAACCTGCCCCACTGGGGCTCCTGAGGTCAGATCTGGTGTTTCACGGTCGGCCTTCGGTGGGAGGCACAGGGAGGCCGGTTCCCGGCCGGGACACCACCCAGCAAGTCCAACCAAGGGCCAGGGGCTCACTGAGGGCAGGCGAGGCGGCAGGCCCGGCAGCGCTGTGCTGTGGCAGAGAAGGGAGAGGTGGCTCACGAGGGTGGGTGGTCCCAGAAAAGGCTTTGGGCGCGTTTGGCCACCACCCCGTCCTGGCCCAACTGTGGCAGACAGCATCACATGGAGTCCATCACCCGCGGGTGGTGCTGTGGCCCTCTACCCCCGCGGGGCTCCCACCAGAATCCAGCCTGGGCAGGAAGGCTCCCCGGGCACACGCAGCAGGTGCCAGGCTCTCAGGGGAGCAGACTGCTGCCCAGCCCAGGCCTCCAGTGGTGCCCACACTGGCCCAGCCCTGACGGACACGCCCCTCGTGGCAGCCCCAGGGACCCACGTCATCTCCAGCAGGGCTGCCCCGGTCGCAGCCTACCTCCTGCCCAGGACACATGGCACCAGACCCTCACTCCTGGGCCACCGGCCTGCACATCACCAGGCTCAACAACGCCTGTACTTTAAATTCCGGAAGGTGAGAGGGGACCATGGTGCTGGAGCTCCAGGAGGAACAAGGGTCCTGAACTCAGGGCACTGACGTGCCTGCTACCTGCCAGTCAGTACCGCAGTCCGGCATCCACCTCAGCGAGTGCACGCATGCTCACTCGTGCTCACTTTCCACAGCAAAAACCAGCGGCTCCTCTCCCACTGCATCGCAGCGGGACACAGTGCCCTCAGCAAACCAAAGTCACATTCACACAAAGGCAGCAAAACCCTGGTGAAATCAGGCCTTTCCTGATCCACACAAGCCCCCAGCCCCTCCCGGCACGGCTCCACGCGACCCCTCACCACGCCACGGGACACCTCACTGTGCCTCCTTGGAGCAGGTGCTGTCCTCTGTGCAGCAGGGGTCCAACCTGCGTGGTCCTTCACGCACACACTCGACAACGAGTGGCATCCTCACACCCTGGATTGCACGCTCACCACAGGGATGCACCCCTGCTCTGACCTCTTTCTCATCTCTGGAAACCGCACGCTTCCACAGAACACCCCACCTCTGCTGGGGCCCGCCACCCGCCCTCCGCAGCAAGTGTCACGGTACCATCTCCTGTGCCACACCGTCCGGCGTCTCCTTCTCCAGGTCAAAGGTGAACTCTATGGCCCCATTGTCCTTGGGCTTGCCCTTCAGTTTCTTGGGGTCCTCAACCCAGAGGCGCAGGGCGATGGTAGACTTCCTGCCGTGGTCCTCCTCAGCCAGCTCCACCCTCACACCCGTGTCCTCTGCGAAGAAGGCTTGGCTCAGCAGGTCCTTGATCTCGTACCTGAGGAGGGGCAGCGGATGGGCAAGGTGAGGGCAGACCTGCCAGGAAGGCATTAGACAGTGCTAGGGCCCTGGCCTGCCCCGCTCCTTCTAGAAGTTTCTCTGACTGTACTACCCAGGGGGCAGGCTCTGTCCTCAAGGGCAGCACATGACAGTTTATTCCCAGGGAAGCAGAAAAGATCACACCTGAACACAGCTCGCTGCATTGGACTCACTGCTTCTTTTCTCTCTTGTTACGAAAAGGAAACACCCCCATCAAGAGAGACTCAGAAGCAGTTTCTAGACCGGGCCCTGCACCGCGCAGACAGGCCTGTGGAGGTGCTGGTGAGCCCCCAGGCAGAGACAGCTGGCTCAAGGCGAGGGTGGACCGCCTGTGCCGGGGGCGCCAGGCTCCCAGAAGCACGGAGTTCTCAGGCTTCGGGAGCTGCTCAGAACGGGGCGGGGGGGTCAGCGGCTGGCGACGTCATGACAACCACTCCCCACCCCTGAACACCGAGTTCCCTTCTCCCCAGGGTCCTGTCTGTTCCAGCAGCTCCTCCCCGATTACTGCGGACGGCGTCTTGTCCTGTGGACAGGCGGAGCCCACGCCCCATGGACGGTCACCGCACAAAGGGGAGCAGAGGTCAGGGCCCCTGCCGGTCCTGGTCTGGTGGAAGGTGGTCTCGCAGAGTCTGCTCTGAGGATTCTTTGCTTCTACGTGGTTGTTTCTATACTTCTCTGATGTGACTTACATTTCACAATTTTTTTAGTGTTTTTTCTTAAAGAATAAAATATGATAACCTGCAGGGGGCAGGAGAGAGCCCAAGGATCAGACAGGAGGCCTGGGAGATGATGACAGCAGGTATCAAGGCTGAGAACAGCGACAGGGTGGCCATGTGCTATGTGCTCGGGGTGGGGAGGGCATACGGGGGGCCAGGAAGAGGTGTGGGGGGAGAGGAGGGGGAGGAGGGAGGGGAGGAGGCTGTAGGTGGGAGGAGGGGGGGAGTAAGGGGGAAAGAGGGGGCAGGGGAGAGGAGAGGAGAAGAGAATGGGGAGGAGAGAAAAGTACAGGTAGGGGAATGGAGGGAGGAAAGAGGAAGAGGAGGGAGGAGAGGATGTAGGTGGGAGGAGGAGGGGAGGGAGGGGGAAAGAGAGAGGAGGAGGTTCCCTTGCTGACCAGCCGAGGACATGGGTGCTGGTTCGGGGGCGGCTCCAGGACTCTGACGTGGGCTTGGGGCCGAGACTCGGGTCAGGAACCAGCAGCCCGGAGGCGGTCGGAGGGGAGGCTGAGGGCATGGCGGAGGGCGCCCCTGTTTAGGCCGGGCGGGTGCGACACAGGTAGCAAGGGAGGGAGGCTCAAGGATGGCCCCCAGAGCGGAGGGGCAAGCTCCAGGCAGCCGAGGAGGGGCCGGGGCTGCCGCCTGCCACCCGGCGGCCTCGCTGGCCCAGGGGCGCCGTGGCCTGAGGCGGCCCGCCTGTGTCCCGCGCGAGCGGGCCGGCTGGGGCGGTTGCAGCGGGAGCGGCACGCAGGCCCAGCGCCGCCGGACTCACCTCTCCTCCTTGTTTTTGCAGATGCACTCCCCGATAATCTCCTTGATTTCGGGATCGTGCACCTTCTCAAAGCTGGCAGGCTTGATGCCCTGTAAGACGAGATGAGTGGAGTCACTGGCGGGACCCGCCTCGGGCTCAGCTGGCACAAACCCAGAAGGGGAGGAGACAGGAGGTGCACCAGCCTGCTGGGGGCTCGGCTCATCCCGAGCTCCCGGGGACACGCGGTCGGGAGCAGCGGGCTCCGAGCAGGAACCCGACCCAGCCCCCGTCTGACGGGAGCATTCGCACCCCCGGCGCCGATGAGGCAGCCGGACGGGGGCCGCCTCCCTCACCACTCCCTCCCTGGAGGGTGCCGGGGGCACTGTGTGGCCACAGCTGCTGGCCAAGGGCACCAGAAACTCTGCCCGGCTGCGGCCACGGTCAGGGCTAACTTCCCAGGCCCGGCGCCTCCGGGTTCGGTGTCAGTGCGTGAGGATCTGCACCAAGGGCCCAGTGGGTGCCAGCGATGGCCACGGCGAGAGGGCAGTACCCCAAAGTGCACACCCTGGGGGCAGAGGATCCAGGAGACGCAGGGGCTGGACTGCAGGGTTCACGTGCAGCTGCGGAGGGCGGGGGCTTGGGGGAGGGGCTTCAACACACCGAGGGGCCCCAACCATCGCGTCCCTCAACAAGACTCTGACTTCCCAGTCCTCATCCCGGTTTGGTTGCTTTTTCAAACATAGAGAACGTGATGCATACGTTTTCCCACACAAAGGGCGGGAGGGGTGGCCTCCAGCCCAGAGGTGGACCCAGGAGGGCAGGACCCCCAGGGGCTCCCTGCCACTACGTGGGGCCCTGCTGTGCCCTGACCCTCAGGCCCCAGGCCCATAACCCATGGGGGTCGTGTTGTGCCCAACGTGCAAGAGATCTGTGCAGCATCAGAGCGGGACACGGGGCTCTCGGCACAGCTGAGGGCTTCCCAGTGGAGGTGAGGATGCCATGCCGTCCCACTGAGGCCAACAGAAAGAGTTTAATCACAACAGGAGGAAGGGCCAGGGTCCCTACGGGAGGCAGGTGGGCTGAGAAACTAGAACTACAGATAAACAGGTGTGTCCCTGTCATCCACCTCTCTGCTGAGGCCCCCAAAGCAGGTGAAGAACGTGCCAGAACAGCTGCCATTTTGAAAGGCCTTGTACCCCAGGCTATAATGTATGAGGTCGGGCCACTGGCAGCGGGGACGTGGCATGCCTGAAAGACCCGGGGTTGGGGGCGGATGCCGGACGCTGGAGCAGTGACAGGAGCCCTGGCCGGCGTCCCATTTCCTGGGGCCCGAGAGAGGGACCAGGGCGGCCGTGGAGCACAGCGGCGGGAGCCAGTCCTGTCGCCCCGGCCCAGCGGGCAGACCGCAGCAGCAACCACGTGCACAACTAGAAACAGGGTTGGTGGGCTGCTCCCCCCACACCTGCAAGCCTGGAAATGAGGCCCTAGCCCCGTGGGATGACCCCTGCTCCATGGAGGACCACAGCCCATGGCCACAAGCCCGGCCCCTCCTGCCAGCACCGCCACTTCGCGCCCACCTATGCGTCTCTGCCGACTGCCACCAGCCGACACAGCGTGCGTTCCCGCCTCACACCCGCAGCAGCACACAAGAGGAGCTCAAACAAGTGACCAATAACTCGGAATGAAGACGGAAGGAGGGAAATGCGCAGTGACCGGCCAGGAGCTCAGAGCGGAGGGCGGGGTGAGGACAGCTGCCCTGGGGCGCCAGGGACCACACTCCTCGCACTGTTTGCAGAAGCGAGGGGGGCACCAGGCGGGGGCAAGGCAGCCAGGACTCAGGGGTCGTGCAGCCTGGTGCCCAGAAAAGCCATAGCCTCACGGGACACAAAGGCCATCGAGGGAGGACAGGTGATCCGTTCACACAGCTGGAGCCACCCGACTATGGCTGACCACCACCTGGGCTGCAGAGCCGACACAGGAGAGCCAGCAGCCCTGGGGGTGGCGGTCCCGACAAGGAGCGCTGGGGACAGGTGGCCCGGGCGCCTCCTGGAGAGGCCCCGAAGGTGCTGCAGCCTCGGGTCACACGAGGCCCACGTGTCTCCACCGCCAGCTCAGAGGCCTGCACGGCCACTCTGCCAAGCTAGACAGCCTCGGTTTCCCCCCCTCACAGGGTACAGAGAGGGTCTCACAAAGCAGGCCCACCATGACGGCCCGTGGACTCACACAGGTGACCTTCCGGTAGATCTGGGCGGCATTCTGGCACTCGGAGTAGGGGTACTCCGAGGTGGCCATCTCCAGCATGCACATCCCAAAGGCGTAGACGTCCACAGACTCGTCGTAATGCTCCTCGTACATCTCAGGTGCCATGAACTCTGGGGTACCTGTGTCCGGGAGCAAGAGAAGCAGGGTCAGTGGCTACTGGGCCTGGGACCCCCGTGCCATCCACACACTCTGCACCATTAGCCCTGGAACCTGAGACTCAGACGGGAGTGCTCTGCGGGTGCTTCCCCCAAGCTCCCCCAGAATCCGGCACTGGTGGAACCCACACAGCTAGGAGCCCGGCACTTCCTGGGGCTCAGTCTGTGCCCAAAACCCTGCGGATGCCGCTCCCTGACGAGCACATCACTCCTGGGGGCCGGATAACCCGGGGCTGACAGAAACTCAGGGTCCCTGCAGAGCTACCTGAACTGCAAACACCCAGAAGGGCTCCAGGGCCCCCAGACAGGCGCACCACGCGGCAGAGTGTCAGGCAGCACAGACGACAGTGAGCATCTGCGCCGACGGTGCCAGCCACGTGCCCACGAGGGCTCAGGTGGGAAAGGCGCATGTGTCCCAAACATGGGAGGCTTTAGAATGACACTTATTAACCTGAACGTTTCAACAGAAACCTTGAAATAACTGAGTGAAATAAACTACTCGGTTGTGCACGCGTGCCCTCCTCTCTATGAACCAACACACAGAGACTAAGGTGGCCCGTCAGGGAGGTGGGGTCTGGCTGGGGTTTCCTTCAGTCACACTGGTCTGGGTTTTGTTATTTTTCTGTAACAAACTTCTTCAAAAATCACAAAATCCTGCGGCACCTGGGTGGCTCAGTCAGCTGAGTGTCAGCTCAGGTCATGATCCCAGGGGTCATGAGAATCAAGCCCCGAGTCAGGCTCCGCACTGGGTGCAGAGCCTGCATGAGACTCTCCACCTCTCCCTCTGCCCCTCCCCTTCTCGTGCTCTCTGTGTCTCTAAAATGAAATTGTAAAAAAATTAAAAATCATAAAATCTTTGGGGTGCCTGGGTAGCTCAGTTAAGCGTCCAACTCTTGGTAACCAGCTCAGGTCACGATCTTGAGGTTCATGAGATCAATCCCCACATCGGGCTCTGTGCTGGGAGTGTGGAGTCTGCTTGGGATTCTCTCTCTCCTTCCCTCTTCCCCTCCCCCATTCTTCTCTCTCCCCCTCATCCTCCCCCTCTCAAAATATATACTTTTTTTTTTTAAAGTTACAAATCACAAAATCATCTTGTTAAAATAGGTCCAACTGAGTGCCCACCCGAATGCAATGCAAAGGAGCACCGAACATCAACTTTGATGGTGGTTTCATGCCTTTTCAACTTCCTCATTTTCAAAATTCAGTTTAAAAATACCATAGTTTCTTTAAAAAGAGTATGCAGAGCCACACAAACTCCTATCTAAAAAGCACACATGGGGTCATCAATGTCTTCATGGCATCTCTGGGATGCAGATAAGTTACCAGAAATTTGAACTTTTTCTCATTAACGCAATTTTCAATTTAACACATATTATATGTTCAACAAAAGAAGTTAACCTTTTGGGTAAGAAATGGCAAAAGCAGGAAATGCCCACAGGTTTCCATGTGTAGGGACACGCGTGGAGAAGTCAGGAAGTGCCCGCAGCTTTACACGTGTAGGGGCACGCGTGGAGAAGTCAGGAAGTGCCCGCAGCTTTACACGTGTAGGGGCACGCGTGGAGAAGTCAGGAAGTGCCCGCAGGTTTACATGTGTAGGGACACGTGTGGAGAAGTCTCATAACGGGAACAGCGTGGACTCAGAGGGACCTTGCACTAGGATTACTTTTCCTATTTGGGGGGTCTAAAGCACACAACTGTGCTGGAAATGTCTGCACTTGGCTGTGCCCATGCACAGGGCAAAGGGGGAGATGTCCAGGGCTCCAGCGGGAAGCCGGAGCCAAGCCGCCTGAGGCCCCACGCAAGCCCCCTGGTGGCCCAGGCCCTCCTGAGGCCCCCACAACCAGTAATGCAGCCCCGAAAGAAACCCCCAAAGGCCCCAGACGCCCTGCCTTTCAGGGTGGGCACGGGGGTGTGGGTGCAGGGGGGGTCGGGCGCAGCGTAGAGCCAGGCTGGGGACACCCACATGCATACGTGCTCAGGCCACGGACAAAGAAAGACCTTCTTTCTCTTTCCAGCCATTCAAATCTGCATGGTGAAAACATGTTCCCCTCCCCCCATGCACACACACATGCCCTGTGCACCTCCTTGGCCCCTACGGCCTCTCACTCATGTTCATGGCCATACTCCTGTTCATGGCCACCGTGGCCATGAACGCCTACAGGCAGCACCAGCTCAGCACCTGGCCAACACAGACATAGCAAGACCCTGGTGACGGCATCAGATCCGGATGGCTCCCAGGGACAAAGCCCACAAGGCACGCGTGACCCACAGCTGTGTGTGCATACAGCATCAAGGGGCCATGGCCACAGAGCTTATGATGAGGACACTGTCTGGGCTCTGGGAACCTTCTCACCCAAACCATCCACCCCCTTCCCATCAGCGGACACAGAGTCCCCAGACCCTACTCCACGGCCCCTCCACCAAGCAGGCGGACAAGTCCTCGGATGTCACCGCCAGCCAGCCAGTGTGGGCTGCATCTCGAGTGCAAACCCGAATGTTTGCATGAGCCCCTCTGACAGCTACACCAGAAGTGGGTCACGGTATCATGTGTCCCTGAAGGTGCCCTGGGCATACCTGTGTCCTCTGCCGAGGAAGGGGCCTGGCTGCTTGGGGCCAGGGAGATGTGCTAATCGGCCCCCATTCTCCATGAGTCTGGAGCTTCCTGGGCCCCAGCTGAGCTAAAGCTGAGATGATCAGGCACCCTGTGTGGGGCCTGGGGCCCCATGTGCCTGCTGGAAACGCCCAGCCTTCATATCCCTCCTCACACCACCCAGTACCTTGACAGCCCACTTCCAAGAGGGACAGCGCCACCAGCCAGAGAAAGCCCAGAGGGCTTCACCAGGCACCCTACCCCTGAGGCCAAACCTATAAAACCTGCTTGGAAACCACCAGAAGCTCAGAGGTGTGCTCCCTACAGCCCTGGGCCCTGCAGCCAGGCCCTTGCCTGCCCCACCCATTTCACAGAAAGAGAAACCAAGGCCTATGTGGGCCCCCATCCCATCACTTAGCTCCCCAGAGCTCCCCTGTCCACAGGACACCCTATACAGTTGCCCTGCCCCAGACGTCACACTTCAAACCCACTCGCCCTGCCAAAGAAGTTTCCAGATTCCCAGCGGTTTCATTTGCCACAAATAGGCCAAGTTCTGTCCCCAAGTGTGCATCAAAACCATGAGCTTGCAAAGCCCGGAGATCACCCTCTTGTCCGTCCTATGTCCCCACGCACAGAAAGAAAGGCTAGCAAACCAGCACCCACACCAAAGCCCTCAGCCTCAGTGCCCCACGTGCTCCCTCGGGACCCCCTCTGGTGGGCCCTGTGGCCTGGGGTGGCCCCCCGCCTCCGTGCCTGTTCCAGTGTCACTGGCCACAAAGCCCTGAGTCCCTCTGTCATTGAGGCCTCCTTGCCGCTGCATGTCCACAGCCCCTCGGGCGCCAGCCGACCTCTCTGCCTGACCCACACAGCCAGGGACACCCCCACAGGCAGTCCGGGCCACGGCCGGGTCCCAGGGCGCGAGCTTACCAATCACACTCTTGGCGAAGGACGCCCTCTTGAGAGTGGCCAGGCCCAAGTCACCGATCTTCACAGAGCCGGTGGGCCCCGTGATGAAGATGTTGTCACACTTGAGATCGCGGTGGATGATGGGGGGCGTCCGGGTGTGCAGGAAGAGCAGCCCCTTGAGGATCTGCCGGCACCAGCTGCGCAGCACCTTGGGCTTCATCACCTTAAACCGCTTCAGGTACCTGAGGGCGGGGGCGCGGCTCACCTGCGGCTCCCGCGAGAGGGGCCACGTGTCTCCCACCCAGACGGGGACGCTGCTGAGGCACCCGGGACACGGGAGCCGCCGCGGGCGCTGTGCCCAGAACGGGCCCTCCCTGACATGTGGCCCTCGGGCGGGGGCGTGCTCACGTCTTCAGCGTCCCCGAGGTCATCAGCTCGGTCACCAGCACGATGCACCTCTTCCCCCTGGCGCTGGACTCCCAGAAGTCATAGAAGCGCACGATGTTGGGGTGCTGCAGGCCCTTGAGCATCTCGGCCTCCTCTTTGAACCGCTGCCTCTCCAGCTTGGTGAGCTTCCGGTCCTGGGGAAACACACAGGCTGAGGGGCCTCTGTCCCTCTGCTGGGTCCTCCTGCACTTGCGACACCCAACCCAGCAGCCTCGCGGCCCTGGATGAGGCACCGCCTGCACGGAGACCTCAGCAGAAGGGGCTCTAGGAGCCAGAGACACGCGGAGAATCCGCACCACAGCACACACACCCTTTCTCCCGAAAAACACCTCAGAGACCTCGCTCCCTCGGTACCCGATTCTCAGTGACGCCACAGGACAGACCTCGTCCTGCTTCTGACACTCACTTTCAAGGACGTGCTCGACCGGAGCAGAGAAAACTGCAAAACCAGGAGACTCACAGGGGACCAGGGTCCCACAGGCCCCAGAGCCGGAGGGCATGGCAGGCACGACCTGAAAATTACATGGGGCACGGCACCACCACCCGCCTGGCCCTGGGGACCCCCGTGCGGTGCCGCCCACACGCCCTTCACCACATCTGAGTCCCCTGCAGCGCCCTCCCTGCACCGCTTACCCAGCCCTGCCTGCCGGGCCCTTCCAGAACCTCTCCGGTGGGCTCTCAGAACGAAGTGCTGTCGTTTCCAGCCTCACCCCATGCAGAGCCTCACCTCTGCGGGTCCCAGTGCGGCCACCTCCCCACACCTGTGCCCTCCTGCCAGGACCCCACAAGGACACAAAGGCCTCCGGACACGGAACAGTGAGTTTCGAGAAGCAAGTGAATGTGGAATGACAGGGGCGTTGGAGCTGAAAGGAATCAAAGGCCAAGACTTTTCAGTCTTCCTGAAAGACCCCAGGGGATGCCTGGGTGGCTCAGTCGGTTGAGCATCCGAGTTCGGCTCAGGTCATGATCTCACGGTTCGTGGGTTTGAGCCCCACATCGGGCTCTGTGCTGACAGCTCAGAGCCTGGAGCTGCTTCAGATTCTGTCTCTCCCTCTCTCTCTGCCCCTTCCCTGCTCATGCTGCCTCTCTCTCTCTCAGAAATAAATGAAACATAAAAAAAATTTTTTGAAAGACCCCAGAAGACATCAAGCAGACTCCCTCCAAAGCTGAGGGGAAAGGGGCCTGGGATCAGGACAAGGCCATCATCTGGTTACGGAATTCCACCCCAAGGAGCTCCCTCCTGCCAACCCCTCCCCCACAGATCCTCTCCAGCCTCTGTGCACATGTGGGACCATGTGGGACCGTGCATGACAGTGCCCCCCGCACAGCTGAACCCAGAAGAACAAATAACTCAGGGACAGAGGCAGCTTCAGGAAATCTAGTTCATGTGCTCACCAGGATCCGAGAGGCTGACACACATCAGTAAGAGCAAGAGTCTACTTAAAATGGAACACTCAAGAAAGTGTTTTTGCAAACTAAGGCTCCACGTTTTAAGAAAAAGATATTCTGTGATTGAATGAATTATTCAGTACAAAAAACTCAACAGTTAATCCAGATAAGAATACACAAACATGCTCCATTCATCAAAAATGAGGATTTACAGGTTGCCTGGGTGGCCCAGTTGGTTAAGCATCTGACTTCGGCTCAGGTCACGATCTCGTGGTTCGTGGGTTCGAGCCCCACATCAGGCTCTGTGGAGACAACTCAGAGCCTGGAGCCTGCTTCAGATTCTGGATCTCCCTCTCTCTGACCCGCCCCCCAAAGTAAAATAAAACACTAAAAAAATTGTTTAATGAGAATTTACTTAAGAGACTAAAAGTAAAGCCACAGACTAGATTCTCCAAGATGTATCTGACACAAGACTCCATCCAGAATGTGGACAAAACTCCTCCAATCCTATAATAAAGACATGAAGGGGTTAAGATGAAGAAATGGCTAACAAGGACATGACAAGGCACTTGCCATCCTGAGCCACCAGAAAAATGCCCATCACTGCCCGAGACGTGCCCACCCCCTTCCCCCAACCCCCATGAAAGAAGAACCCTTCCAACCACCAGGAGGCTGGGAGCAGCTGGAGCCTCAGGACACACGGCTGCTGGAAGCGTAAGGGGCCACAGGCAGGGCCCACACCTGTCCAGGCCCGGCCACTGTCCTCCAGGAACCCACCGCTGATGGCCCACGGGCTCAAAGCAGCTCTGCTCCTAACAGCCCCCAACTCCAGAAAAGGTGGGGCAAACACAGGCTGTGACAGAGGGCGCTCACCTCTGGGACAGGGGCAGTGGGGACCTTCTACATCCCAACAGAGGACGCGGGCCACACAGACGTGTCACATGTCATCTCGTCGACTCGGACACGTAAGATCTGCATCACACTATACGTAAGTAATAGCTTATCTTTCAAACACACAGAAGAACAGCAGTAATGGAAGGAGAGCTGCCGAAGAGAAGGCCACGCGCCGCGCGCGGGAGCTGCAGGAGGCGCGCGGGAAGGAGCGGGCAGAGCAGCGGCCCGGAGCCGAAAGGAGAGCCCTCGTGGTGCGGCCGGAGACCGAAACCAGCCCTCGTCCGTCCAGGCCCCTCCGCGAAGCCCGGCTGCGGCGACTCCCACCGACGGAGCGTGCGGCCGCGGCCAGCGCGCACCCCAGCACTTGCTCGCCCACGCGCGAGACCCAAGGGCTCCTCTGGGCGCCCGGGCGCGGCGGCCGCTGCAGGAGCAGAGCCCACAGCCCACAGCACTGCCCCGCGGAAGGGGCCACGGACCGGCCGAGCCGCGTGGGGACGGCGGGCAGCGCCGGTGGGGGAGCCCGGGGGAACCCACGACTCGGGGGGAGGCGGGCAGCGCCGGTGGGAAGGGGTCCTGGCCATGTGGGGGCGGCAAGCAGCGCCACCTGCGGGAGGACGGGGTGCCCCACACCTGCGGGAGGAGGAGGGGGGACCCATGCCGAGTGAGGGGGCAGGCAGCGCTGCGTGCGGAGAACAGGGGCCCACGGCGCTCCCCACCTCCACTGCCAGCTCCGCTCCCCGTGTCACCCATTCTGGTCACTGACTGGAGGAAACTCCCACGTGTCGTGTTTGCCCTATTTCAGCATCAACCACCAGAAATCAAAGATCTCACTGCATTTTTAGAGAAAAAGTTCGTGTCATAAATGACAACCAACCAGCCCCAAGAGGGAGAGGAGGGCACCCGCGTATGCAAAGGTGCTAAATCAAAGACTCGGATGGAACGTGGTCAGACTTCCAGGATGGTACCTCTCAGGCCCAGAGGTGGGAGGGAGCAGGCCGCGTTTATATTCCAAGCCACCCGGCTATTTTTAACCTCACTACACACTGCTTGATAACTGAAAAGGTCAGCTGCTGTCCTGAGTGCTGCCCCGCGCCGCTCACAGAGCTGGCCCCGGTCCTCGGCACCACGGGCTGATGGCCGGGCAGCCCCATCACATCAGCGCCTCCACGCAGGGGGAGCCTCCACGAGGGGGTAGGTGCCCAGCAACGGGCATGCTGTCACTGTCTGTGGGATGTAGCCCTGATGTGCTGGGACCCTCGAGGTGTGAAGCTGGGCAGGAGGAATGCCCCCCGTCCTGCACGGGCTGGAGTTTCGCTGGACAGTTCACCCGTCCCAGACACGGAGGACAGGCTGCTTACACGGGCTTCCTACCAGGCGCCCCCAAAACTGTGGGAGCCGATCAGATAAAGGATAAAAGCATCCTGGGATGACGCTGTCTCGTCTCCTTCCTACAGGAAAAGGGCCTAGCAGGCCATGGACGACACCCCCTGGGCAGGAGCAGGCAGCAGGTGGTCAGAGGACGACAGCCTGGGTCTGACCAGCCTCCCGCACAGGAGGTGAAGTCCTGTGACCCAGAGGACTGGGTCCCTGACTGCTCGGGAGGGGAGGGGTAGTCTGCAGCCCTCTCCTCAGGCAGGAAAAGCCCAGCCAGCCCTGTGACGAGCGGAGCCGCCAGGAGACCCCGAGCCCAGGCCGGGAAAGGGCACAGAGCAGGGCGTGAGCAGCCAGAGGGACAGTGCCTGGGGTCAGCAAAGCCGGAGTCCTGGGGTGACACCTGGCACAGGGCGTCTCTCCAGCCCCGTTTGGCTATAAAGCAAGCCTCAACGGAATCAGCCCAGGATGGAGGCCCAGGGACAGCCAAGCCAGGAAAAGGGTCCCCGGCCCCCGTGGGAGGACATGAGGAAGGTGCAGGCTCCACCCAGGTGGCTGCAACGGTGAAGTCGGGGTGGGGGGTGCGGGGTCAGGACGTCCCTGGGGTGCTGACCGCACCGGGAAAGCTTTGCGATCTGTGTGCCTCACTCAGCCACCAGATGGTCACTGTGGCTCTGGGCACGCAGGACAGGCCCGGGTGTCCAACATGCAACCACAGCGTGCCACCACCGGGGCTGGGGCAGCCTGGTGCCAGGAGAGAACCCCTGTGGCCTGTGGAGAAGAGTCACCGCGCCCACACGGGCTGCCTGCGGTTTCCGCCAGCACAGGGCGGGAGGCCTCAGGGGCCCCGAGGGGCGGCCAGGAGGCTGGCAGCTCCGGACCCCGCGGCCCCCCCTCGGCAGCAGCGATGTTCTCCTTCTTCCCAGTGACCTGCTCCCTCTCACGTTCACTGCACGTTTAAAAATAAACTCCATTCTCTTAAACCAAGTACCCTCCTCAACCTCACTCATCTCAAGCAGCAGCCTGTGAACCAGCGTTGGCTTTTCCTGATCCATGTTTACAATTAACCGTGTTACTAACGTGAGGGGCGCTCGGTGGCTGCCACCAATGAGAGGAAGCACAGATGCAGCAGGAAGGGGCCCCTGCGGCACAGTCAGCATGGGCAAGGTCAGCGGGCAGGATCAGTGTGGACACGGTCAGCAGGCAGGGTCGACACGGATAGGGTCAGCGGGCAGGGTCAGCGGGCAGGGTCAGCACGGGCAGGGTCGGCACGGGCAGGGTCAGCGGGCAGGGTCAGCGGGCAGGGTCGGCACGGGCAGGGTCGGCGGGCAGGGTCGGCACGGGCGGGGTCGGCACGGGCAGGGTCAGCGGGCAGGGTCGGCGCGGGCAGGGTCGGCGCGGGCAGGGTCGGCGTGGGCAGGCTCAGTGCAGCAGCGTCATCGTCCAGAACACCAGGAGGCTGTGAATCCGGGCTGCCGGC